AAGGTAATTTGGCCAAGGTTAATTAGTAAACTCTGAAAATGAGTCATGCAAGTATTACTGAGCCATCGATCAGGAGGCTGCTTGAATACCCCTTTAATTGCATGGGGGTAGTCATGGTCAAATTCTGTCCCAAAGTTAATTTATCTACATCCTTAACTAGCAACACTGTGGCTGTAATAATATTCAGGTAAGGTGGACATTCTCCCATCACTGGGTTCAATTTCTTTGACAAATAAGCAACTAGTTGTTTCCATGGCCCTATATTTTGGGTCAAGACTCCTTTAGCTACTCCTTTATGCTCATCAATAAACAGATGAAATAGCTTACTGAGGTTTGGTAGCCATAGAGCAGAGGTCGATAACAGAGGCTGCTTTACTTTTTCAAAAGCCCTCTGCTGTTCTTGAGTCCAGATAAAATTCTTAATTTCCTTGGTGGTTTCATATAGAGGTTTAGCCATTTTGGCAAAGCCTGTGGACCCCAAGAACTCTCTCCTGTCATGGACTCTGGGTGGTAGGGATACTGATAACAGTCTTCTTGCTGTTGAAAGCCATTGCTGGCTTTCCTTCAGAATATAACCGAAATAGGTGACCTTGGTCTTGCAAAGTTGGGCCTTTTTAGTGGATGTCTGATACCCTGCGTCCCCTAGAGCTGGAAGGAGTTTTCAGTTCCTTTCTTGGTAACTCTCTTTAGACTCTGCCACAATCATCTACATATTGGAGAAGGGTTGTATATGGGTTGTTAGCCCAGGAGTCACCCAAGTCCTCATGCAGAGCTTCACCAAAGACGGTTGGTGAATTCTTATAGCCTTGGGGCACGCAGGTCCAGGTGAGTTGTCTGTTGATGCCTCTTTTGGAGTTGTACCATTCAAAGGCAAAGCCTTCTTGACTCTTGGAGGCTAGGAGTAGGCTTTAAAAAATATCCTATAGATCAAGAAGAGAAAGCCATTTTTTGGTCTGGTGGCAATGAGCTCAACAAAAAATAGGGGTGAGGCACCGTGAGGTATATATCCATCACTCTGAAGTTAACTTCCTGTAGGTCTTGGATGGGCAGTAATTGTTAGAATTTGGCTTCTTCACAGGTAGCAGTGGGGTATTCCAGGCCAACTGGCATGGCCTGAGGACTCCCATGGCCAACAATTTATGGATATGTGGGGTGATCCCCTTTCTTCCTTCCTAGGACATGGGATACTGGCAGACTCGAGCTGGGTCAGCCCCTGGTTTAAGCTCAACAAACACAAGAGGTCGATGTTTTGCTAGGCCCATGCCTCCTGTTTCTGCCCACACTTTGGAAAACTTTCTCAACCAAATATCCAAGTCTTGTTTGGGAGCGGTTGGTGACTGACTCTGTACTCAGTCTCAGAGGCCAGGTTAAGAGTCAGATTGGGGTCAGATTGCCTTTCTGATCAAATAACTGGATCAGTCAAGGTTTAAAATGAATTTGAGATCTCATCTTTCTAAGAGACTTCTCCCCAGCAAGGAGTTAGAGCACCCAGTAATGCCCATAAATGAATGGGTTACCCATCCCATTTCCAAGTCTATTGATCTTTGGGTAATCCATGAATATTGTTTAGTATCTGTGGCCCCTTGGACCCAGGATCTTTTGGAAGATATTGGCCCTTTGGCCTTTAAGAGCTCTGAATGTTGAGCTCCGATATCTACCAGGAAATCTAGAGGCTTCCTCTCCACTCTAAGGGTTACCCTGGGTTCAGGGAGGGGGTCCGACTCTGACTCCTTCGATCTTCTTCTTCCATGACCATGGCCTTAGCCTGTGGCTTCTTCTTTGAACATTCTTTAGCCCAGTGTCCTCCCTCCTTACAGTAGGTGCACTGGTTCTTACCTAGTGCTAGTCGTAGGCCTAATTTAGACTCTTTTCCTTCAATAATTCATTACAGCTGACATTTCCTTTCTCCTGAGTCTGGGATGTTGTTAGCCAGAAGGACCTTGGTCAAAACTCTATTCAATACCTTTCCTGTCTTAATCTGCTTTTCTTTTACACGTTCTTTGTTATTGTATACCTTCTCTGTAACTTCCACTAAATCCCTCAAAAACTCTTCTCCTAAACTTTCCTGCCTCTGAAACTTCCTTCTAATGTCCAGTGCTGACTAACTGATGAAAGCCAGGTCTATTGTGCCAGAATTCCCTGCTTCCTCAGGGTCTATGTGTGTATAACAGCAGAAAGCCTCCATGACCTGTTGGAAAAATGGTGCTGGGCTTTCATCAATCCCCTAATATCATAAACTTTGGTCAAATTGGTAGGCCACCTAGCGGCTGCCTTGCCACCTGCCGTCAGATCCTCATGGTAGACCCAGAGGCACTCCTTATCTTCAGTTGTGTTGTAGTCCCAATCAGGTCTCCAAAGGGGAAATCACCAATCAATATCGGCTAGGTTTTGGGTTAGGGTGCCATTATCTCCTGGAATGTTCTTACGGGCCTCGGGCCTCCAAATTGATGAGCTCCTTTTCTCCAGTAGTAAAAAGAATCTGCAAAAGCGCTGACAATAATACCAGGTGTGCTGATGAATGAAAAGAACAGTATCTAAGAGGCCAAAAAGATCTTTGGGGTTTTCAGAAAATCAGGCATTCTACCCCTTGCAATTATAAAGGGCCAGTCATAGTGAGGTTAGTTCCCATGTTGGTTTACTGGCCCTACTGCCAATATTTCTCTGGCCCTGTAGCCTCAGGGGACATGGTGTGTCTGTTCCTTGTATCCTGTGGAGGGGGCCCTCCTATCCCCATGGCTGATGCCTCTGGAGTTTGAGCTAATGGTGGTGCTGGAGCTGGGGCAGGTGGCAGTGCTGGTGCTTGCTGTTTCTCCTCAACCTGTGGCACAGCCAGCAGGGAACATAAGTTGGGAGGAAAATAAGGTCCTCAGGGGTACTATTCTGTAAGACAGGGAGAAGAGCTGTTGGTTTGGGAGTCTCTTTAGTCACAAGGGCTAGCACAGTTCCTGTTGATGAGGAAGCATTAGCAGGGGGAAAGAGGAAAGACTTAATCCAAAGTGGTGGGTTAGTAACCAATTCCTTCCAGACTACTATATAGGGGACTTGATCAGGGTGTCCACGAGCCTTTTGAAACACTTTATTTTCTACTGATGACATATTAGGGAGGTGGAAGGTCGTCTCTGGTGGCCATACATATTGGAAGCCAGCAACTCTGAACTGCAATAAGTGGTCATTTTCCCTTTCTTCACATCTATTAGAGAGGCTATGAGCCCTGGCCCTAACTTCCTTAAAATGAGCCAAAATGAGATTGAGAGGATGAAAGGCAGTCTGTCCCATGGCATCAGTCAAAGTCTGATACAAACAAAAACTAAACACCACAAGAAACACATCAGACAAACAGACATGCACAAAATAGCCATGTCGTGACTGAAAGCAAAAGTGAATCCAAGAACTCAGACTCACAGCCTTGGATACTGAAAGCGGCATGGGGAGGAAAGCAATTGGTGGTAAGGCTCTCCCTCTTCTACCAAAAATCCTTCCAGCTGACGGGTGGGCACTTCATCCACCCTGGGGCCAGAAACAACTCCCTGACCCCCACAGCTCTTAGCCACTTCTTGCCACTTATGCCAATATTTCAAGAACAGAAATAGACAACACACAGAAACACTAAACACTCACCGGCCAGCACCAGACTCTCCAGGTTTGGGTCCTGGGCATCTGGGAGAACCTGGATGAGCCCCCACAATATTATGCCCAGATCACAAGACTCCCAAGAGACCACCAGGGACCACAACTCCAATGCAGGCATATGAGTCTTTATTCGAATTTGAACTCAGGTCACAAGCCTTCCTGATACAACAGGTTAAGAAAATGACCCCTGGGTCTAGGGGCTTAGGGTTTATATAGGGAAACAATTGCAAGCAGGGGCTTCCAAGTCTTGGTGTTACACGATCGGGTATGTGGGTAAAGGAATGTTGGCCTTTAAACTGACTGGTGCATAGCATCTCTTCAAACTCCAAGGAGAGACCACAGATCTAAAAGGGGCATCTTCACCTGGGAACGACTCATGTTTTCTTAGCCCATCCTGTTATTGTGACCAGCTTATGCTGTTGTTGAGAGCTAGCCACAGCTGTTATGTCTGTTTTCAACTGCTAAGAACATTTTGTGGTCTTTTAATCAGAACCCAAGGGTGGGGGCTGTGTCATTCTGAGGACAAGTAACTCAAAATGGAGTTTGAAAGGCAAAATGGAATTTATCTTCCTATTTTAGTCACTTTACTATAAGGATGTATTGACATAGAATGAAAATTAGCACTAGTTTTAAGATGGGGGTGTGGTTATGCTTATGTATCTACAAGGGAAGAAAATATTTGGTTACTACAAAATGTATGAAGATTAGATCTGACCAGAGAAAACTTCTTATCAGCTGAGACATTAATGTCTTCACAAAGCAAATAGCCCAGATGATTCACAGACTGGTTTCTTCAAAATACGCACACAAATTAACTTCAAAAGGCCTAGTCCTCATGTTCAATCACACAGAGACTGGATAAACACAGAGACTGGACAATAGACTGGTCACATGTGGGGAAAATTTAAAAAGGCTGCCACAGCGGCGCAAGCCCACCGCCATGGAGGGTCCCACATCAGGGAGGAGGATTCTTATGGTTCCAGCGGCCTGAGGGCCTTGGCGGTGGCAGGCCCCAGTAACACAAGGAAGTCCTTGGTTCCAAAAAGATTTATTGTCATGACGGATAATAGATAGATCTAGGCGTACCCCCCCAAAACTCAGGGCAGTCCCGAGTTATATAGGGAGGGAGAAAGGGGGAGGATTGGGGGAGGATCTGGGGGAGGATCTGGGGGAGGAATGTTTAATTTGCTCTGCCCTCTGGCCTTCATTAGTATGTAAATCTCTAGGGCCTGAGGCCTATAGCCTGGCCTATGTGACTCTATGGAAATGTGACTGTTTTCAGGATCCTAGATGATGGGAGGGACCGAACTCCTGCCGGTTCTCACGCAGAATTCCACGGAGAATCTCGGGGTTCTAAGTACCTGCTCAACCATGACCCAGGATACCCTTATGCAGTCCCACAGTCACACAATACAGAGACTGGATAAACCCAAAGACTGGGCAACAATGCTACAGCTAGCTTTTTTTCAGACTAACCACTCTTTTCCTTGGGCCCCAAACAGGAATTCTTCACCCCAGTTCTGTAGGAAGTAATTATAAGAAGACCATTGTCTCAGTCTTAAATGGAAACTTCTAGTTCCTTTGGAAAGTTGGTTATGTCAAATGATGTTTTCCTGGACCACACAGATGAAAGGATGTTCAGCTGAAACAGAGACAGAAAAGAATGTTTTGCTGAAGCAGTCACAGGATGTTTTGCTAAAGCAGACACAGGTGAAAGGATGTTTTGATATAGCAAACATATGAAAAGACTCATGATGGAGTATAAATATGACCCCACAGACAGTGGGAGATGAGCACTGAGCATTGTTTTGGTTTGTTCCACCTCTTTGCTAACAACACACATGTATTGGTTTGCCTTACACAGTGTTGTTGAGCTCAGCTTAACACTAACATTGAGAGAAACTTGCCCAAGAACTTCTCATGAGGTTCCTGCAGCCTTGGGCCAATTGGTAAGCCTTTCAGCTTCTTCAGAACTGAACTATAGCTGCTGGTTCATGCATGGTGTCTGCCTGTTGAAAGGTCTGGACTATAGCTGCTGGTTCATGTGTAGTATCTTCCTGCCTAGAGGATTGATTTGCAGCTGCTGAGTCATACTGTTTGCTATGGGACTGAACTGCTGCCAAAGAAGATCAAGCTTGCCCACAAAGAACTATTGCTAAACAGGTCCACTTCCCTCACATCCTAAAAAATTTTCTCTTTCACTGCTGCTGGTGTGTGGTGGGTAAGAGGTTAAATGCTTATTAGGGTAGGTTGTAAAATATTTATGCCTACACCAGTCCCTTAAGTTAGGGTGGATTATTTTGGTCATTTGACATGTTATTAAGGTTATTGTCATCTAGGGTGGAAGGTTGGTATTGGTTATGATCAGGAATTGATAAAAATTAAAGTTGTTTTGCTTGAATTGTTGTATATTAACAGAAATTTAAGGTCTTTTGTTTAATTGTTAATATTGTCAGAGACTCAAGGTTTTGTTAAAATATTGTTTGACTATAGTATACATATGCCATCTATTTAAAATGTGATGGTTCTTGTAATTATTTATAATTATTATAATTCTATTGTGTGTAGATCATTAATGTTAGGGAAAAGGACAATTCTTAAACAGAAAGGGGGATATGAAGTTTCTTTGGAAAGTCAGTTATGTCAAATGATGTTTCCCTGGGGCACACAGGTGGAAGAATGTTTTGCTATAGAAGACACATGAAAGAATGTTTTGTGAAGCTGACACAGGTGAAAGGATATTTTGCTATAGCAGACATGTAAAAGGATACATGATATTTAGAAAGAATATAAATATGACCCACAGGCAGTGGGAGCTAGAGCACTGTTCACTTTGTTCTGCCTTGCTATTCTTCGCTGATCACATGTAAGCATTGGTTCACCTTACATTGTGTTGCTGAGCTCTGCTTGTGATGATGTCATATAGAGAAACTCAGGAAAGATCTTCTTGTTAGATTCCTGCAGCTTCTTGCAACTTTCTCCAACTTAGATGGGCTGGTGAGCCTTGTTGTTTCTTCTGGATTGACCTGCCTCTTGCTGATTTGTGTGTGGTGTCTGCTGAGTGGACTGGACTAAAAATGCTGGTTCATATGTTATCTGCCAAGTGGATTGGTCTGCAGCTGGTGATTTGTGTTTGCTGTTTGCTAGTAGACTGGACTGAGAACAACAAAGATTGGAATTGCCCCCAAAGAACTATTTCTAAACAGGTCTGCTTCCCCCATATTTTAATAACCCTTCTTTTCCATTACCTCTGCTGGGTGGTGAAGTAGAAGAGTGGTTGAACCTTTATTAAAGCAGGTTGTGAAAAATTTATGCCTATAGCTCTCTTGCAGACCAAAGTTCTGTCTTTTATTTTGCATCAGCTACTTAAGAATTGCACATCAGTTCAATCATTTACCCCAGGTTCCCTTTTGAGTAGTCTACAAATTAGCATTTTATGACCTTAGCTCCTAAAATCAAGGCTGAAGCTGCTGAGTTCTGCAGCTTGCTGGAGCTGGAACTGGAACAAGGCCTCATAGTTCCATTATATTATCATTAGCTTTCTCTTTTCCAACTACTTCACTCCACCCACAGGATCATTCTTATTAAAAGATTCTCAGAATGTACTGACTGATAGTTATCTGACCCTCTTGAAAGTCCCAGGTAGAATTCAAATGCATGTCGAGCTTACTAGTCAATAGGTTTAAAGGTTAATATGCTTAGTCAATAAGCTTGAACTGTAACCTTGCTGATGTAACTTGTACCTTTTTTTTTTTTTTCTGAGACAGGGTTTCTTTTTGTAGCCCTGGCTGTCCTGGAATTCACTCTGCAGACCAGGCTGGCCTCGAACTCAGACATCCGCCTGCCTCTGCCTCCCAAGTGCTGGGATTAAAATGCATGCGCCAACACTGCCCAGCGTAACCTGTACCCTTAAAAAGTATAAAACCTGCTTGTAATAGTCATTCTGGGTTGCCTTCAACTGATTAAGGGTTGACCCTGACGCACCAGAAAATAAACCTCTTGCTTTTGCATCCATCTGTGTCTAGGTGTCTCACTTGGGGACATCTCGAAGTAAGTACCACTGACCAAGGATCGTGTCTTACTATATCAGGATAATCCATCTCCTTCCTTCCGGACAATGGGGCCCTGTTTTCAGTCTTCACAGGGTTTGGGGACCTATCCATCTGGGGTAGCTCTTACTTGAACATCCAAAAGACCTCTACCTTTAACCAACAGCTCATCCTAACAGGGTTTGGAAATTCTAAGGCCCCTGTAACTCCCTTCACCAGGGCTTTACAGCCTACGCCTGTTTTCTCTATGACCCAAAAGATTACTGTAAAAAGTGGCCATAAACTTAAAATGGTTACTCATATCAATCCTGCAAATACCATGGGACAAATCTGGGCCATCCTAATAGCATATCAGCTACTGAATCACACTCTGCCTGGCCACTTTGGAGAGTGCTGGTTGTGTCTCCTCCCTTCCCAACCACAATTGGACTATTACACTCTCTCACCTCACTTCTCAATTGTTCTGAGCCAAATACTACTCCCACCTCTTATCTCTCTAATCTCTCTCTCTAAGGTATTGAAGACTGCTTTTTAACTCTTCAGGGCACATTGGATCCCTCTGACTTTGACTCTGAGCACTACCGCCTTACCCTTATGTCCAAACTTTCACAACAACTCACTGCTTACCTGCTGGGTGGTCTGGAACTTGGGCCCTGGTGTTTTTTCCCCTAAATTAGGAGTGGTACCTGGTGAAAAACCCTTGCCGATTCCAATCAGAGGGTTGATAGTAACACACTAGGACAAATGAGTGGTCAGGTCCTACCCTTTCTCGAAGTCTTAGGTATAATTGCTGGCATTGCCACTGGTGTGAAGGGATTTCTTTCCTAGATACTTACCATCAGTTTTCAACAAGTAGCTCAGACCTTCCTTACCCTCCAGGGCCAAACAGACTCACTGGTCACCATAGTGCTTCAAAATTGGTGAGGATTGGCTTTACTAACAGCAGAGAAAGGTGGTCTTTGTGTCTTGAGTCTCAAAGAAGAATAACGCTTCCATATCAACCAGTTGGTTACAGTAAAAGACAAGATCTGACAACTCTAGACCGATCTCAAAAAAAAAAAAAAAAAGAAAAGAAAAGAAAAAAGAAAGTAAGAGACAACTCAATGTCTCTGGCCAGTGGATCATCACTGTCTAATATGGAATTGCATTATTAGCCTTCTTAACCCTCTCTCCTCTCCTTTTCTAAGTCATACCAGTTGCACCCTGCCTTATAAACTTCTTGTCTAGATTTCTTCAACAATAAATCCAAAAGACTTCTAACTAGACTTTAGACTTTTAAACGGTGTCTATTACAGGATTACCTTACCTATGGAGCCAGGCAACTCCCAATTATACCCTGATGGTGAAGGTTAAATTCTTCTCCCCAAGGATTTTGATGGGCCATTCATCAGGTATTCGAATGATAACATTGGAATGTCCCTGTGGAATTCCAATGACCAAGCTCTACCCACAAAACACTCTAATATCCAAAATGGTCAGATTGAGTCCCTCCAGACACATGTGGCAAAGCTCTGCCCTACAGAATAATAAACCTAAGCTCAGGACTTGAAAACCCACCAATCCCTGACCACGAAATCTCTACCCTGGAAAGTTTCCCCACCCCCAAACCCTATATAAACTCTGTCTTCTGCTTGGTACTCTGCTGTTTCTCACCCAAGCAAAGGCAGCTATGTTCTTGGAATTTTCCTTTCCCAATAAATCTCTTGTGTTAGGTTTGTTGTGCAGTGTGATTTTGCTGTATTCCACAGCTCCTGAAGGCCAGGATACCTTTTCCTTCTGAGCTGTGACACTTGCACTAGGGAAACCTCCTCCCGCCACTCCACCCCTCTGCCCAAAGCAGAGCTATAACACTTCCTTTGGGGAAGCCTTTCCCCTCAGAGTTGTAACACTGACACTTAGCATCTTCAGTTAATGCCTTTTTCCAGTTCCCCTTACAGTCTGCCCTACAATTCTCTCACCTGTACTGTAGATCTGAGGACATGAGGATCTACTTTCTTGTGCCAGCTGGGACTCTGAGGGCCTGTACCTTTGGCCTCAATTACATGTATTACTCACTGCAGAGGATTTGGAATTAGCATCAGTAGATGGCAGTTTCTGTGTACTTGTTCATGTATTCCCCCAGGCGTACATATACAATGGAGCTGAAGGTAGGGAACACCTTTTGACTGACAGAGTTGTCAGTAGAAACAAGAGGCTGGTCTCAGGTATTTTCATTTTTCTTCTTAAAGGAACAGGAATGACTGGATCAACAGCCCTAGGAGCTTCGCATTAGCCCCAAGGAACCACAGCTTCCAACTTCTGAGTTCCTACAGGCCCAGTAGCACCATTTAGCCCAACATGAGTATGAATCAGTGATCTGATCCACGTGATCCAGAACCAGTGGAGAATGTAGTATGGCCCAAATCGAATCTACTTTACTCAAGAGAACCACCTTAGGGCTTCAGTCTATCAGCAGAACCCAGCAACAATTCCAGGGAATTTTCAGTCTCTTTACTCACTTCCCAGAGATGTGTGATTATCGAGCAGTGATTAACTGCTTGCCCTGGCTTCTGTAAACATGCTTATGGTTGCTCGAAAGGTGGAAGTAAGGCATTTCTTCACATAGCTACAGATTCCTCATAAATAAACCAAGTGTGGTTTTGCCTTTAAAACTTCCCCTTCCCTTTAAGCCTGGGTCTCAGTCTCTCATCTTGATCAGGTGGGTGCAGTCAGGTGGCCAGCTTAATCAAATTCAGCTAATTGAATTTGATTGAGTAGTCTTTCCCAGTAGTCTCGAATTCTCCAACTCTGTAACAACATAACACAGCAGTGTTAAGGAACAGTTGGGTGAAGCACACTAAATGGAGTCAGCTTAAAGTAAAATAAATTACCTTGGTCAGTTCACCATTCTCTCCCACTGAGCCTTTGAGGAATGGGCAAGCTCTCACTTGGTGCCCTCATTATATTTGCTTGCACATCACGTACCAATCCTGAAGAAGGTAGTCACAGGAACAAAGGAAGAGTGTCTCCTGGAAAAGAAAGTGGACAGGCATAACCTCGGTGTTTGTGCTCCTGCTATTTGTGGAGACAGAAATCAAGAGTGGGCCGAGCCAGGCAGACCACTCACGCCCCCTAGCGCTGGGAGCGGCTTTGGAGCAGAGGAGCGGCTTTGGAACCAACGAGCAGGGAAGGTTGCGTTGACTGGGCACTGAGCAGCGCAGGCGCACAGGCAACAGAGACCGGGCGGGCTGCAGGTGTTGTCAGTGCGCAGGCGCCGCAGATTCCCGAGAAACCGCGCGCCTCTGTGAAGCCGCAGTACGCAGGCGCGGAGCCTCCCCAATGAGGGCACGCGTGAAAAGGCTGCACACACAGGTGCTGGTCCTAGTCGGAGCCCCAAAGGCAAGCATTGGGTTTCCGGTTCCGGGAATAACCAACCGCCGCAGAGGCGACAACTACTGTTTTGGAAGAGGCTGAGGTGGAGGAGGAAGAAGAGCAAAAGTGGAACGGGCGGGTCGCGCGAGCCGGGTCCTTCCCTTGGGTCCACGGGCCTAGAGCGGAGGAAGCTGCGGGCCTAGTGTCAAGCTGGTGAGACAGCCGTGGGAGTGGCGAGAGCTCAGGAGGAGGCTGTGCAGGCTCCGAACGCTATCGGGAAGACGCGGAGGGCCCTCACGTCAGGAGAAGGAATGGCTTCCTCTGCATGTTTAGAGAGAGGACTGGGGAAACTGGACAGAAAGACAGAAAAGGAAGGAATGTGGCTCAGGGCACTGACAGCGGTGTTGAGATTCTGGTACGAGGATGGCGAGGAGTAGGAGAGATAGACCGTTCAGAGAGTCATTGGGCGTTCGTGTTAACAGGATAGAAATGGGGCTCCCAAAGCTGATAATGCAAAGATAGAGCCCCGAGACAGGAGAAATAGCAGGGTTAGAATAATGAGGGACTGGAGACGTGTGGCAGACAAAAAAGTAGAATGTCCGATGATTGGGAGGGATGGCCTTGCCCTAGAACACAAACTGAGAAATTGAGTGGCAGGTCACTGTGGAGGAACAAGGAAGTTTCACAAGATGAAGTTTCATAAGAAAAATGGAGAATGATCATAGAGTTAAGAGAAAGAGTAGCTCCCACTGCCTGTAGGGGTGAGCAATAGAGACGTTTCACCGAGACTGAAGAGGATTTGTGGGTCAGAATAATGAAGGGGAGATAAGCTTTGGGGAGAGCTCTTGAACTTAAGGGGGACACGTAGGAGGCTTCCAGCCTGAGGAATGGAAAGAATGTGGGTAATGTTTGATCCAGTGTATGGAGAGGTTGGGGCTCTGACACATAAATGCAGCTAGAACATGGAAAGACATTGGAAACTCAGATCAAGGAAAGTTTAAGTGGGTGGTTCGAACACTGAAGTAGGGTCCCGAGGACAAGAGAATTAGGGGACAAAGAGGGAGGATGGGGCTGTTAAGTCAAAGACTGGGAGTATTTCCTTCACTAAGGACATACTTGTGCTAGTCTGGGGTAAGTATTAAATGAAACACATGGCTTTTGTGGCCTGGAAATACTTGGGCACTTTTTTTCATATTCTATTTTCTTCCAATCTTGCAGGCTTCTGTTCTGTCCCTGAAGCATCTATGGCTGAGGCCTGGCAGGACTGCCCAGCCCTGGGCCCTGGCTGGAAACGCCGAGAGGCCTTTAGAAAGTCAGGGGCCTCTTGTGGACGCTCAGACATCTATTATCAGAGGTAACGGGTGGGCTGTGGACTGTTCAGTGGAGTTGGACCTCGGTATTAATTAAAGTAAAGGAGTGTTTTTATATCTATGGATGGAGTTAGAATTGTGTGCATAGTCCTTATTAAAAGTTTTATTTTCTTAATCACATATTCTTAATAAAGTTTATTTGATCAAAGTCAATATTCACAGTGCATTTGTGATTATTCACAGACACACATGGAACAGCTAAGGATTTGAATTGTCTAGTGCATGTATTCGGAATCAAAGTTGAACAAGAACTCTCTCTGGTTTTGCAAACTGGTCATCCTTTCTATTTAAAGCCATATTTTTGCTAGCAGATTTGTTGTTTAAAATGACTCCCAAATAAAGTGCTAAAGTTTTTCTAGTGTTCTGAGTGCAAGAAGACTGCCTTTTCTCCTTGTCAGATAAGCTTCTTCCATGCATGAATTGCAGTGCTATTCAGTTAAGTTACAGTGTTTCAAAATCAGAAATAGTTCATCCAAACAGAGAAGAGGAAACTTGCTGAGATGTGTGTGAGGCTGCTCTGAAAAGAACAAAAACTGTTGTAGGATATTTAATCACACTGTGAACCCTGAGATTGGTTGTATTTACTGGGAAAAACCTGTTTTTAGTTGTGGTTTGGCTCAACCTTAGGTCAAGAGGCAGAACAAGCAACCAGTTGACAGGAAGTGAACATAAGATTATTAAAAAATTATAGAGAGTAAGAGGTAGTCAGGAGGGTGGATAGAGAGATGCACAGGAAGTAGAAATTTGAAGACGGGATTTTGCATGAGTGGGTAATAGTTTTTGGGCTGTCAACTGAGGAGGAAGGTCAGCTGGGTGCTTTCTCTGCTTCTCTGAGCTATCACCTCAGCATCTGGTTCCCAAGTCTTCAGTGGTAGAATGATCGAGATTGTGTTAAAAAAAAAAACAACAACAACAAAAAATCAACATCTGGATTAACTTGATGAAGCTTCAGAGAAGTTGGTTAGGCAGCTAAATCTGTGCATAGTGACCAGCATTGTTATAAGGAAAGCCAAAGACATAGTAGCTGTCACTAGGGAATTTTAACCGTCTCAGCTGGTGCTGGCTGGCTTGTATGTTTCAGAAGATGATATGGTGTAAAAACATTGTACTTATGGTATAGGTTCTCTACAGCAGGTGTCTTCAGAAAAATGACAAAACATTAGCAGACAAACCTAGATAAAACATCCTCTAAAGCCAGAGGCTCTTAGTCATTTACAATCATGGAGTCATTAGTACAAAACAAATGTTACAGTGTTTTTAAGCAGAGATACATAAAACAGGACTATTGATCTGTTGCTTGAAAATGTGACAGGCTTGCTGGAACCTACCCTTGTGTCTCCTGTGGGCACAGTGGTTCTTGTTTCAAAATTTCAGGGTTTGTAGTAACTTTCTAATACATAGTTATATATAATGAGAATTGACTGTAAATATATCAACATTGAAGTTTATAAGCATGGTATTATTGATGGAGCTATTAAAATTTTTTACACTCTTCCTATTTAAGTTTCCATTTCCTTAGAAGAATGTAATAAAATTTCATATAGTTTTCATTATGTTTATAACTTTTTTGAGGTTATATAAAAATTTAAAAATCTCTAAGTAATTGTGTATATACATATGTATATACATCAGATTAGTACATCAGTTTGTTAGGTTTGTGGATGCTAGTAGGAAATGTGATACTTCTGGGGCCAGTGATAACAAAGTTTCTCACAGTAGGATCAGGATCCATAATACTGTGCTTTTGACATTTCTCTGAATCCCAATTCCTATAGGATGGTATGATATGAAGGGGGCGGGCTCAGTAATGTGTGTGCTGCACTAGGTAGAGGAAAGGCCCCTGTCTGTCTGAGCTTGCATAACCACACATCAGTAAGTGTCCTGCCCTCACAATTCAGAAGTGAAAAGTCCTGAGTAGCATCCCTCAGCGTTAACTATGCTTATACTTTGTTTTGCATATAGTTTCATTTTCATGCTTTAAAAATATTTCTGTTACAAACTCTTATGATTACTGGTTTTTACATGCAATACAACTGAGAGCATTAATAATGTGCATAGAGCCTTTAGTTTGTCAGCACTACATAAACTAAGCATGGTGCTATACTCCTGAAATCCTAGTACTTGGCGGGTTGAGACAGGAGGATTAGAAGTTCTAGGTCATGTTTCTTCACATAGAGAATTTCAAAGCCTCTGGGTTAAAATGAGACCTCCATCTTAAAGCAAAACAAGATGTATATTTACATGTTACTTAATATGGCTGTATTTTGTATTGATTTTTATTTGTATAATTTTTAACACTAGCGTTACTTGTAAGTATATTTATGTGTCTTTGCTTTTAGTATTTAATTATTCCTGAGACAGAATCTCTACAGAGCCCTGGAGTTGACTATGTAGACCAGGCTGGCCCTGAACTCTGAGAAATCTATCCCCTTGCCTCTGTCTCCCAAGTACTGGGGTTAAAGGCATGTGCCACCATGTCTGGCCTATTTATGTGTCTCTATACAGTTACCAATAGTAATACAATCTGAGAAATATACAGTGACTGCACTTATACAACCCAGGTGGTATCATACACTACTATGCTGTACATCTAAGCTAAATATTCATATAGTCATACACATGACTATATGAAGCATATAGTGCTTACTGGTACTGATACATTCTGAAAAACATGTTATCTAATGGGTTATGTACAAATCATAAGATTATAAAACTAGGACATGAGTGGTATCATTAGACAACATAATCTTATGGAACCATCGTGTATATGCATTGGTCATTGATGGAAGCATCATTAAGTACCACATAACTGTATGGATAAAGTGTAGCATACTGCTCCTATGCTGAACAAAAGTCAGAGGATTAAATCAAGCACAAGAGAGAATTATGAAATCAAGAGAAGCAGTAAACATTTAATTATATTTGATTACTAGTAGTCCAGCATTGCAGTTTCACAGTACATTATTATTTTTCATAAGTAGGAGTCTAATGATAATATTGTACTAAGTTCATAATCTAGTGATTGTAATTATCATTAATCACATGTGCACTGTGTATCATTGTGCTATAGGCATTGCAGTAAACTTGTTTACAGTGACACCATTACAGATGCCGAAATGTTTTTTGTTATGGCATTAAAATTGTTACAGTATTGCAGATAATAGAATTTTCCACTGTATTATGATTTTATGGGATTACCATAGAATATATGATGTTATAGATCAAAATGAGGGTTCACAATTATTAACATTTCTATGCATGCTAGTATTTATATTCACATTTTGTATTCCTGTTACTTATATTGGAGTAGGACTTGGGTGGGGCATACAGTCAGACTCCAGACTGCTTCCTGCATCTCACCAGATCTGTGAGGATGTGTGAGTGGCTTGCCATTGGCTCCATCTTGCTGCCAAGTCATTCTGGTTCATTCTCAGCCCCACAGGAGAAAAGATCCGAAGCAAAGTTGAGCTGACTCGATACTTGGGCCCTGCATGTGATCTTACCCTGTTTGACTTCAGACAAGGCGTCTTATGCCATCCCATTCCCAAGGTACTTGACAATGTTGGTGCCCATGTTAGGGCAATTATGTCATATGACACCTAGGCATTAATCTACATGCTTCTTGTCTTCATCCTCAGACCCATCCCTTGGCTGTCCCCAGCAAGAAGAAAAAGAAGCCTTCTAAACCAGCCAAGGCTAAGAAACATCAGGTTGGACCACAGAGAAGTGAGGTCAGGAAAGAAACTCCACGGAAGGAAAATAAGACTGCTACTGCCACCACTCCAGCTTCATTACTTGTGTCTGAACCTGCACCTACACCTGCACATGCACCTGCATCTGCACCGGCGTGAGTTTTGGCTTAACATGAGTCAGGTGGGCATGGCTTGGGATTGGAGGTGCTTACTCCTGCTCTTTCCACTTTAGGTTCTGTGAGAATTGTGGAATCCGCTTGCCATGCGATGGTATCAAAAGGCAGAGACTCAGGACATTGTGCAAAGACTGCCGAGGTAAAGGGAATTAGACAGGCCATACTGTAGACCAGTGCTGGGCTAGGCTGGAGTTATACATTAGTGATGTTTGGCACGTCTGGAATCAGCCTGTGAGCCCCACTCTGTTGCTGTAGGTAAAACTGTAGAAGTCAGGGTTAATGTAGTAGCTGAAGCCACATGTCTGAAGCCTGGTTTCCATTTTTCTCCCTTCTTCCACTAGCACAGAGAGTTGCCTTCAACCGAGAGCAGAGAAAGTTTAAGGTAAGAACACTATTGTGTAGTCCACAGGGGAGCACGGGAGGGGTAGGGCTGACAGAGTGTTTAGGACTGATATGCTGGGTTTTTGTTTTTTTTTTTTTACATAGGGACCTGGCTGTTGGTTTGTTTGTAGATCCAGTAATGGGAATGAATGTGTTGTCAGTTGACACAAGGACGCATTTAACAACACTTGTAGGAGACACTGTAGTGGCCTTGGTAGTGGCAAGCTAGTCAGTAGTTTATCATCTATGGCAAGGAGGCTGATGGGAGACTTGCATAGTAGGTATGCAAGCAGGGGTCTTGGAGCAAGACTTTTAACCTTCCCCGTCTGTTTCTGACAGCGATTTGGCTGTGGGGAGTGCACAGCTTGTCTGGTGAAAGAGGACTGCGGGGTATGCTCCACCTGTTGCCTGCAGCTGCCCCACGATGTGGCCTCAGGGCTTTTCTGCAAGTGTGAGCAGAGACGCTGCCTGCGAATTGTGGAGAAGGTGAGTCCAATCACAAGGGGTGGGCCCAGGTTCACCTCAGTCCCTGGCCTTCTTAGCCCCAACTCCAGATGTCACACCTCCGGCCTCCCCACAGAGCCAAGGGTGTGGTGTGTGTCGGGGTTGTCAGACCCAAGAGGACTGTGGCCATTGCCGCATCTGCCTTCGCTCTCCCCGCCCTGGTCTCAAACGCCAGTGGAGGTGTTTGCAGCGGCGCTGTTTTTGGGTGAGTCAGGCTGAAGGGACTGGTGATGGTAGAGCCAAGGCTGGACCAGAGCTCATTCTGCTGTTAAACTCGCCACCACCACTGCTGTTGCTTCCTCCCAGTCTGGCTTTTCCTGCCTCATGTCTTATTTTCTTTTCTATCCCATGCTCACCTCTTTGGTTCTGCCTACCTACTTTTCTCTGCTAGCACGTTGCTCATCGCTTCCGAGGCCACCCTCAAGGATGTCACCAGTGCCCTCCCCACGTTGTGGCTTCCCCCACTGTGAGTGCCTGACTTGCACACTCTGCCTGACCACTCTGCATGCTTTGTGCGATCCCTGCGTCCAGTGTCTACCTGGTGCCACCAAGCCTTAACTGTTGTTTTGGCTTCCAGGGTAAACGTGATTATAGTAAGAGAGGCTCGAAGGCTGCTTCTCAGCATCGCTCCCAAGCCCCGCAACTTCTTCCACATCCTGCATCACAGCACCCAGAGCCCACAGAGCTGGTAATGCCCTGGTGGGGAGGGGGAAGGCACAACCCTAAACTTACTCAGAACTTGCCCTGACCCCAGCATATTTGCCTCTGCAGCACATCAGCGACGTAGCCCCCACATCACCTGCTGAGTTCATCTATTACTGTGTAGACGAGGACGAGCTAGTGAGTGGCCCTACTTTCCCTGGATAAGCCTAGACTCTCCTGCTGCTTCTTTAACCCCAAGGAAGCAGATGCCGTAATGGAACTAGTAGGGGTAATAGTGAGTACCAGAGTGGGATAATCGATTACTGGGGAAGGAATTAGGAATTAGAAGCACAGTGGCAGTGCTTCCTGTCAGACAGTGGCTGGTGCAGCACAAGCAGGCTGAATGATGACCCTCACAAGAGTGCAGAGAAACACTTGGATAGAGTATGTCCCATAGCTGGCATAGGAATGAGAACTTATGGAAAGTCAGCAAGAGTCCTGATGGAAGTGAGGTCTGGAGATACTGTCTCGATACCAGATGCTGTAATGCATTGCACAGCGATGGAGTAGCCCCAGTCCTCATGGTCTTGGAGGCCAGCTGGCACAGTGATTGTAGCATTTTGAAGTCGCAGATGCTGAGAAGAGTTAGGCTGAGCCTGGTGTGTAGCTAGCTCCTCCATGAGGGTGTTGAGGATGGCCTTTAGTGACAGCACCATCGTTCCCTCCACCCCAGCAGCCCTACATGAACCAGCGGCAGAACCGCAAGTGTGGGGCCTGTGCAGCCTGCCTACGGCGGATGGACTGTGGCCACTGCGACTTCTGCTGGGACAAGCCCAAATTCGGGGGCAGCAACCAGAAGCGCCAGAAGTGTCGTTGGCGCCAGTGCCTGCAGTTTGCCATGGTGGGTGGGGCAGGAGGGGTTAGGTGCATGGGCTAGGCTGGACCTGACCCACCTCCCAGTGCTTGAGAGTGGTGGGCAGGCCTGGTAGATGGGTGGGTGTTCTAGTAACTCAAGTTGAGGATCAGCAGATACTGTGTTGGGGTAAATAAGCCCAGCTGGTAGTGCCGTTGCTTACAGGAGATTGAGTAGCAGGCTCCGTGGTGAGAGCTCAGGAAAGTAGTAGACTCTCCTGGGCCTGATGGGAAGTTAGCAGGCTCACTGTAGGGCAAGGTGGGCATGGATGCTCAGGTGGCACCAGCTGACCACAGCACCCAATCTTTTTCTCACAGAAGCGATTGCTGCCCATTCCTGGGTCAGGGTCTGAGGAGGGAGCAGGATTGCCTCCACAGCCTCATCGAAAGAGGCCTGCTTCTGCTCGACAGCTCCAACCGAGTGCTCCCTTAAAGGCCCCTTTGGCTGTGGTCACAACCCCACCAGGCCCTGTCCAAGTTTCAAGAAAGCAGCAAGCAGGTAGAGGCTCTATACTGCCCCAGCCTGACACAGACCTTGTGGTTTTACAGGAGGGTACCAGCAGTCTCATGCAGGTGCCTGGCACTGCTGCTCCTTTCACAGAAGCCCCAGTACAGGTAAGGCTCTCATCCTGCTCTTTCCAGCTCCACCCAGCCCTGTGCCATGGAGCTGAGACCAAGTCTGCTGCCATCCTCCCTTATGCAGGAGGCCCAGTGCTCTGCCCCGAGTTGGGTTGTGGCCTTACCCCAGGTGAAGCAAGAGAAGGCAGATGCCCCACAGGAGTGGACAGCAGTCACCACCATCCTGACTTCTTCCACGTTGCAGTCTGGCTTCCCTAGCAAGGTTAGGGCAATAATGATGTCCTGTTGGTGCCACACAGGAGGTGTGTTAACAAGAGATAGTAAGCCAGGGTAGTGTACTGTGATATAGTGATAGGTGTGCTGTTTATGACCATTCTGTTGAATTAGCCAGCATATCCAGCAGACGCCTTATTCTCCATAGGCAGCTAATTTTGCCCAGTTCACAGGTGACTGGAGATGGTTCAGGAATGGGAATGGTTCAAAGGTAGGGAGGTGCATTTCTTATTGATAAAAGCAAGGTCTGTCTACGTAATGGGCTAGCTGATAGAAAAAACTTGCCTCAGGCCATTCCTGTCCTAATTGCTGCCCTTCCTCATTCTAGGCAGTAGACCCAGACCTTCCACTTGTGAAACAAGAGCCCCCTGGCCCTGAGGAGCTTAGAGAAGAGAACAAAGAAGATTATGTCTCTGAAGCAACCCCAGCAGAGGAGATAGGAGGAGTTGGCACGCCAGTGGTCAGTGCCGGGGATGCGCCAACCCTATCCTGACTTTGCCTTGTCTCCTCCCACTATACTGACCCATGATGTTAATTCTTCCTCAGATCACAGAGATTTTCAGCCTGGGTGGAACCCGCCTTCGGGATGCAGAAGCCTGGTTGCCAAGGTGTGCCCCATACAGTTAGGTGTGGGGATGGTTGGGTACTGGCCAGATATGCCCTGAGTTTTGAATCTAGGGTTAGCAATTTGATTTGGTGCAGAGGAACAGAACGTGTGCCACCATTACACTGTACAGCCAGGGAGGGAGGAGGGGAGGGAGGGAGTGTGTGTGTCTGTGTGTGTGTGTGTGCACATGCGAGTGCTCTCTTTGGGGAAGGAACAGGACTGCTGCTCCATGATGAGATTTTAAAGAAAACAGATAAAGTGAGGCTGGTTCCAACCTCCCTAAGAAAAGCCTTGAAGGGTTGGACTTGTCCTACATTCTTACTCAGATCACTGTTTGTGCTCAGAAGGCCTTTGGAGACCCTAAGAGCCCATTACTGGGTGCGCTGTCCCTTATGATGGGAAGAGTCTATATCACACAGATGACACTGACTTGCCCAAGCAGTGTGGCTGTGCGAGCTAAGTCTGTAGTTAGCTCTGTGATCTCAAGTGTATCCCCCACTTCCCTGAGCAGCCTTTGTGGGTTGACTGGGCTGTGCCTCTCCAACCTCTGCTGTTGGGTTTCAGATACTGTGTAGACCTGCCCTAGTGAGTGTAGTAACAGAAGTGAGGAGAGCTGCCATTGTGCCGGTGGGAGGAGGACACCCCACATTAGCACAAGGTTAGAACAAGGAGTGGACCAAGCACCTGGATCCCTTTGTTCCCACATGTAGTTGTAACAGCGCGAATCCTTGGTAGTGTACCTTGTAGACAGCAGGTGGAGATGACTGAGAGCCTGCCTTGTGGAGAGCAGTTGGGGACTCCACTGGTAACTACACTGAAGCCTATAAGGCCTAACCCTGGGGAGGAGAGACAGGACCCCTGCCCTCAGGGAGCTTAGGATTTTCTGGAAGATGAAACTAGTACTTCTTAACAGACAAGTGCTATACTGTTACATTGCTAGTCTATTGAAGAAAGAAAAGTGACTGTAGGATAAATTAGGAGAAATGGATGGACATACAGAATACGAGAAAATGGTTTTGTGATGCTGTGTTTTGTACATAGCAAACCTCATTCAACAGACAGACCTGCTCCCTCTTCTCTAGGTCCAAGGACCTTAAAAAACCTGAAGCTAAAATGCAGTAGACTGGAGGCTTCTGCTGACTGTAGGACTGAAGGTGATATTTGCAGACCGGCTTTATGAAAAACAGCCCTGATCCTCCAGGGACTGGGCCCTGGCCTGTGGAGCTTGAGTGTGAATCCACCCTAGGAGAAAAGCCTACAAGCACAAAGAGCAGGCCTGCTCAGGCCTTGGAACTTAGAGGAAACAAGCCGGAGAGGAAGAGAAAGAGTAGAAGGCTGGTAGAACATCTGCTCCTTCGAGAACTTCAGTGCGATGAGAAGTTGGATGGTAGGGAGGGTAGCTGAAGCTTCTACAAACAACAACTCACACAAGCCATCTTCAAAGCGTTTGTTGGTGGCTTCTGGATGACCTGGCAGTGTGTCTGAACATTTTCTCAGGGAAATAGCAGTTACAATGCTATGTGAGTAAAGGAGGGAAAGGAACTGCTGTTTGCTGAGCTCTCTGTGGAGCTAAGCAACACTTAACCCTCACAGTAGTCCTTATGAACACACTGATATCATGCACTTTTGCAGGTGGGTAATAGATTCAGAGTGAAGAACTCTACTAGTATCGAACAGCTAGTGTTGGTAGAGTCTAGAAACACACCTAGGCTATAAAAGTTTTGTCCTTTAAGCCGCTAAACTGTTAACTGCAATCTTCTGTGCAATAATGTATATTATAATGACAGTTTTAGTGACTTTGAAAGTAGCAGTGGGTCACTGTGAAAAGTGTAAGATAAGTATCCTTTACACCTTGCCTCTGTTGTGGATTAGGGAGTGCCCAGGCTGTGGGTGGACAGGTCACCTTCTTGTTAGGCCCTGGATGCTGCATAGGTTCCCTCTGTTCCTAACTGTGTTCTTCTCACTGCTGGTTGACAGTTTGCTGGGCTCAGACAGTCTCATTGCAGACAGAGCAGTGCTTGGAACTAAAGCTGTCAGCCTGACCCCTCTTTAGCTGGCAGCTTCTTCTTTCTCATGACCTTTGTGCTTGTTTCCTGCCCTCAGCCCAAAGGTTTGTTAGGAGGCTGAGTCAGTTTATGCACTGAGTCCTGCTTGAGGACCAGTCTTGGCTCAGCCTTACCTCATTTTCCATCCTTAAAATGCCAACAGTGTACAGTTTATTACTTAGCCAGCTTTCCAGGCCAGGACTGAGTACCTTGCCATATGTGTGTCCTATGTGCCCTGTATGTTAGCTTCGTCCCAGCTCTGCTGCCTTAGGTAATGCAGCTATGGATCACTCTCTTTATTTCCAATTCACAAGACAGAGTTCTGCCACCTTGTTCTCTGCCTTTGCCCCGCTTTGCCTAGTTGTGTCCGGGAATCATACTGTTCTTTAACCCCTAGAGTGCACCACTTGTCCCTAGTAGTTCTGGCAGTGGTGTATTAAGGGACATATGCTTGGTTGGCATTTGACTTGTGAATGAAGATTCTGAGTACTGTGTGTGTTTGACTAGAGGACAATCAAAAGATCAGAACCCCTGCAACAGAGGCTGGTGTATGTGTGTTAAGAACGTTTTGGGAGACGTTTTACATTATGTAATTTGTAATTTGCGGAGACGGTTTAGCAGCCTCTAGGACTGTCATTTATATATGATGCTGGGACCTAAAGTATTCAGGACGGAGGAGTCAGGAAGGGTAGGTGGATGGACATATGGGAGCCAATGAACAAGAGTTGGAATTCAAGAAGATGGCCTGCAACCCATGCAGTGTTTCACTGCCTCCAGCTTCAATGATGTTTGTATCCTGCAGAAGAAGCTAGTGTCCTTAGGAGCATCTGGCCTAGAACTATAGAAGCTAAAGGAAGATCCCAGGGGAATTGTAGTGGCTGAAGGCCTGGCTGTAGGACTTGCTGTTTCCCCATAGCAAGGTGAGACAGCAGACTAATGACCGTTTGTATGAACTGCAGCATGCCTGGTGTCCCTGTACCAGCCTCCAAGTGTTAAGACCAGCCTGTTCTGCTTCACCTCTGCTAGCACAGGGTTTCTGTGGTGTTCTTAACTGGAAGTACATGAGGAAGGAGCCCAGGAAACATAGTCTAGTCAAATGACATGGTAGAAAGCCACCTGCCATGATTCAGCTCCCAAGGGCTCAGCATTCACCTGAGGATAACAACAAAACTACATTGCTGAAAATGTAAAACTGAAGACCGTGGATTTCATGATAGTTCCAGCAAGTAAAGAAATCATGCCAAGCTCATCCATCACAGTCTGCTGGTCCCAGCTGCATTTGTGTCATTCATCCAAGTCCTGAGAGCTTGGCCCATAGTTCTCACTGTATATATAATACTGAGATTCAGAAATGCAATTTTATAAAGTGCATCAATATATATTATACATGATAAAAAGATCTCCAGTTTATTATGGTTTTTGATGCTAAAATATAGAATTGAGTATACTGTGGAGAAGCGAGTCCTTTTTTGAGTTTTCTTGAAATAGTATAGAAGTTGGAAACAACTTAATCATTTCTATTTCTAAGGTGTTCTATTGTAAAATTATTTTAAAACAAATTTTCTTGTTTTACTTCTTGTTTTTTATGTTAGTGTTTCTTTGGGGATGTTTGGTGATGGTAACAGTGTTGACTACTGTGAGAAAGCGGGATAGTGGGTGGCTGTTGTGTTATTTCCCTCAGCTTCCATGGGTGCCTGCAGGCTGAGGCACTGCACTTGCTGCTCATCCCACCATTCAGTCTGTAAGGCTCCTCCAGGCCTGGGGTGGTTGAGATGACCGTTAGATAGATTTTAAAGCTGGTGCCAGCTGCCCTGAGGCAGAGCCTCTGCCTGCAAAGACTCCTGGTATATGGAAAAGCTGGTTCCACTCTTCAGAGAGTGGTGAAACCATCTAATCTGAGAGCTAGTGCTACCAGACTCATCAACCGATGGCTCTTTGGTGTGAGCTCAAGATGGGCTTGTGATGTCTGCAAGCAGCTGGCTGCCTCTAAGGGTCAGCTTCCCTAGGCCTTCCCAGACTCAGCAACAAGACCTCTGTGGCGACCCAAGTCTCAGGGGTGAAGGGTGTAAGACATGCAACCCCAATGTCTGGAGTCTTTCACAAACCCTGCTGAAGGGATTTCTTCCCCTCTGTAGAGGGTGTGCTGGGGGTGAGGGAACACCCACCTAAAGGCCACCACTGAGAGCACTCAGATAAAGGAACTGCCTCTCTGGACATGGTCTTGGAATCCAGACAGCCTCTTAATTTTTTTTCTTTTTTGTTTCAGGCTACATAAACTGTTAGCAGTAAATGAAAATGAGTATTTTACTGAGCTGCAGTTGAAAGAAGAAATATTATAGGAGAGAAAAAACAATTATTAAGAGAAGAAAGACTTTCTTTTGTGGCTGAAAAGCTGAACCTGGAATTCAGGAAATGGAATCCAAATCTAGAGATGTACCATATAGAAAATCTGAAGTGGGTGGGGTACAAATAATTAAGCAAACTAATTTGAAGAAAACCAACCTTAAACGTGAATATACGTGAATTGCACTTAGTATCTGTCAGTGACTGGCCTTATTACTACCTCCTCCCCCCAACCTCCCTTCTTGTTTCCCCAACCCCAGCCCACTTTACAGGGGCACCACAGTAGCAATCAATTGGCTCTTAAGCAGTATAACTCCATTTTACTATCACTGGGAACTACAACAAGACCTCTGTGGCGACCCAAGTCTCAAGGGTGAAGGGTATGGTCTCATTCCGTGTATGCCGAAGACCGTCTAGTTTCCTGGACAGTATTGCTAGTTTTACCTGGGATCCTGATTCTCAAGAATTGAGTATCTGGACTTCTGATCCGAAGCTGATTCCTCCAGACTATTGTGCCCAGCCCAGACAACTGCCATGCCAGTGTATCTGATCTGCCCTCTTTCTGTGTTAGCCCAGTGTGAGCCCCATTTTCTGTTCAGTGCAGTAGGAAGATTTTGTTCAGATATTACTGGTTGCATGGCTGGACAAAGCACTTCGGCTTCTTGAGCCTTAATCGACTTCAAACTAAAGCTAATACCTTCAACTCCTTCAACCCTGTAAGAATTTTGTCAACCTCAAAGGTTGTTTCTGGAAATACTTTGCGAATTGTAAAAAAAAAAAAAAGAAAAGAAAAGAAATACAAGTATAAGGTTGCCATGTGATTATTATCGCCATCAAGATTAATTTCGAGGAAGTACAAAACTTAACCTCAAAGGTCCAATAACGTTTCTCATGCTTTTAGGTCTGTTATGTGTGATACTAGTAAATACACCGAGTTGTGTCTTAACTCTTTCAGTTAAAAAGGTTTATTAGGTCCCGTCCCCATCTGTCTTTCTGCTGAGCCTGGGAGGAAGAGAAGGAGATGAAAGGAGGGCTCTTGTGCTGGGCAGTGGATGGGCGGGCTGATGACTGCAGATTGATCTTATGGGCCAGTGACTAGGGACTACTTCTACTTGGCCCGCCCACCTTTACTCTAGCAGCACGCGGGGGCGGGGTGGCGCACCATAGCAACCGGCCTCTGCGTCTGGGAAGTAGACTCCACCGGGCTTTCTTAGTTTCCTCTCGCCACCAACCCAAAGAGACTTGAAGATGTATAGCCAGCGGTTTGGCACTGTTCCAAGGGAGTTTAAGGGCCCCACTCCCAAAGCGGTGATCATAGTAAGTACAAGAGGTTTGTGCAGGGAAACTTAGGACTTTTTTCATCCTGGTGGAGCCCGACCTGGCTGGGTTCCTTGACCTGGGATGCACCTGGGACTCAGTGGGTCTTGAGGAAGACAAGGTTGTTGCTCATCTATCTACCTTTACACCCACACCCTTTCCCCTAATCTCCAGCTACAATCACCACTTGGGACCTTGGTGTTTTTCTTTTTTCTTCAACATTCCTCAAATGAGATCTGACTCCTTGCTATGAGCTGTGGGTGTGGGAGTGTTTTGGAAGGGCACCGGGCCAGGAGGCACTTTCCGGATCTGTACTGCTTATGGTTCAACAGCATGACATTGAATTGGTCGCATAACCCTGGGAAAATAGTCTATGGAAACAGAATTAGGCTTTGAATGCTGTGTGTGATAATAGAATGCTCCTTGTGCTGGCTAAATAACTGGTGTTGAACAAAAGTGCCCCTACAGACTGGAAATTAGCCACGTAGTTGCCTCCCAGGATGGCCTGATAATGGTAGCCCATAAGAAAGTAATTTGATTCATTTTGCTAGCAATCCAGTCACTCCTTTTCCATGCATATGAATCAGTTCCTTTATTTCTGCAGAAACTGGTCTCTACAAGCCAGAAACTCTACCATGTGTAATCAGATGTATTACACATGGAACTCTACTAGATGTATATCCCTAAAGAATATATGGGAGTAAATCCAGGGGCCCTGGGAGTTTCCCCTTCATTAAAAATGCCATCCACGTGCTGCTTATTCCCTAAATAAACTGTTAAAGGGAGATAGTAGGTGTGTTGGCAACTTGAAGAAGAATTAAGAATACAGTTGTATTGTAGTCCACAGTACGTATGCTACATTTCAGTCTGCTTACAGACCTTTTTCTTCTTTAGATCTAAGAACTATAGAATCTGGACCTGGAAAAAGGTAGTCTGGAAGCTGCTATGGGCTGTAAGATCACAAGATGACTTCATGGGGGACAGAAACAGAACACTTTAGGGCCATGTATCTTCATGTAGTGCTCAGGATCCAGGCCATTTGTTGATGACTATTATTTATGTTCGTAACCAACAAGAAATAGGAAAAAGACATACTGCTAAAGCTGAAGCAGACTTACTGAACACTCAGCAAGAGTAGGAGGCAAAAGAAGCCACACATGGTTCTCCTCAGGTGTCTAAGTGTCAGATAACAAACCTTCCTTAGGAGAAAGCAATACAAACAGTGCTGTGAGCAGCCACCAGCATGTTTCTTTTTCTCATTTGACAAATGAGAAACCCTAGACTTGGAGATAAGATAACTTGTTCAACACAGTGATGAATGAATATAGGCCAGAGTCAAACCTGGATGAAGTCATTGTTCTTTAATAAGAACCTGATATGTTGCAGTAGCAAAGTACTTCCTTGATCTTCACAAATCCCAGAGTCTCTGTCCATTATTGTAGTTGCTTGCCACATGTGGTTTTTACCTCTGGATATATGATGAAATTGCTTGGAGTCACATATTGAAAAGATTATATTCTGGATATATTAGATTAAAAATATTAACAAAATTAATTTCTTTCACTTAACTAATACAGTTGAACAGTGTGAATTTTGGTCAGTGACAAGCCTGACAAGCCTGTTTCTAGTTTTATTGAGACTTGTTGCTGAGTAAGTTCACCCTTTCTAGTTATTTCTGAACTCTGGCTGGCTGATCAACTCAGCTGTTCCAGCTCAAACTCCTCTCGAAGCTGACTGAATCAATCTGGCTTCTTTAGGCTTTTGAATTGCTCTGCTTAGCTTCCTACTAACTTTGGCAATCTGTTCTAATTTTCTGATTCCTTCTCATTTTCTGACTTATTCTGTCTTCACCTGTGTCTAGCTTGTTCTCTCTCTCTGCAACCTGTCTCTGTGAAACTCTTCAGGTAAAATAGCCTCCTCCTCTTCCTCTCTCACTGGATCGCTTTCTCTTACGTAGCTTCCTTTTCCTGTCTCTCCTTATGAGAGTTGGGCTTATCCTATTCTGTCAAATCTTTCCCTGAGTTGTCACTTTGGCACTCGATTAGACAGCACTTTCAAACTTAGGTGCTTCCTTCTACAAACCAGCTTTACCTTCATTGGAGTTAAAGGTTTGTACTAAGAGTGTAAAGGACTGAGCCACACTACATCTAGAAACAGGTTTCTCCAGTAAACAACACAATCTCAGGGTTCACAGTGTGATCATATATCCTGTAACAGGTAGGTCGAGGCAGATGCGCAGTTAAAGAGAGAGTTTGAAGCCAGCTTGAGAGCTATATGACATCATGTCTCTGTACCACAAGCCCTATAGGGCTCCTAGGTCTGGCTACCACTAGTGTTGTTTCTCACCAATACTTGCCCTTGTTGCTCTTTCTAGTCGAAGTGTACTTGGATCCTGATTCCTGTCCTCACAACTGGTGACAGTTGCATCTAGCTGGCCTGTGTGCTTCCTGTTTTCAACTCACATGTCTACCAGAACCCCGAGTTATTGTTGTGTCTCCTACCCAAGTGACCCTGTTCTACTTCCCTATCACAGAATCTGCACTCATAAAATACCAAGAATGAATAGTAGTTTAATTAAATTACTCTAGACTCAAAATGATTTTGATGTGGATTTGTGTCTTGTGATACACTTCCCGCTCTCAACTTGTGTCTGTCTTCCATTTCATCCTGTTGGCTGCACCTAGGTGCCTCTTTGTGTACACCAAGCCCTGAAAACCCTCCATCAATTTATCTTTGGATACTACCCCATGCCCTGAATGGTTACTACAGATAACCTATGGTTACCAGATACCTCAGTATCTGGTAATTCTGACACAAATATTCTAAATGTAATTCATCAGAATGAATCTACCTTGTGCCTCAAGGACTTGTTACTATGAATCAGCACCAACATGCTACAATGTAACCAAGGATGAAACCCACTGCTGAAAACAGGAAGCTCAAGACTATTGGTTTTGTGGTGGCACCAGGAGGCACAGACACTGAGTCATCAAGAACACCCAGAAACATGTGTCCACTCATTCATAGTGAGAGGCTAATTGTGGGAGGAGTAGGCTCAATGCTAGGAATACAGAAATGATAAAGATACAGTCAATGAGATTTCACTTACTGTGTTGATATATTTTCAAAATGTACATGCATAGTCTTCCAACTGTTATGCCCAGGCCCTGCAGATCACCAGAGACCACCAGGAGTTCAACATGTACACAAAAGCAAAGAGTCTTTGTTCAAGCTCCAGCTAGGACCTCTCCAACCTTTTCAATGCAATGGATGGGTATAAAAGGCCCTGAGTCAGTAAAGCCTTGTCTATTTATTATAGCTTCAGCAGGATGAGAGGCTTTCCAGTTTGACAGTTACCTGACTGGTTAACATTTGAAAGTTAGAGCTTGGTGCATTTCTATTGGCTAATAATGATTTCAAGTTGGTATGAACAATAGCGGCTTGCTTAAGCAATCTATTTTGAGACGTCTGGAATATTAGGTACTTTCCTCCTAAGAGCTGATTGGCTGTTCCTAGTGGTAGGGTGGCTATTGGCTAGAGGAGTTGTGGCAGTTGCTAGGGGTGTCTTGGTTCCTGGAACAAGTTGTTTGTTTGTTTGTTTGTTTGTTTGTTTTTCTCGTAACTGAGTTCATACTAAGGACTAGTTTAACATAAAATGGAGTCTGAATGTAAAATGGAGTTTGTATGTTAGGCTGGGCCCTTCACAACTTTTATTTTTTTGAGTGGCCATTGTGCAAACAATACATTTAAAGAAACTGAAACTGTTGAGGTCTTGGAAGCACTGCACAAACCACTCAGGCAGCAATCTCAGTCAAACAGGGCCGAATTATTGAATGCTCATGCCAAGACTGGTCAATCAGGGAGGCAGCATAGACTCAGGAACTAGACCTCATCCCCGAATGTTTTTCAGGGCCAGTTTATAAAGGCAAAACCATAATGAGCTCAGGTGTAGGTACCGGAAGCACTGCCTGGAGGTCATCTCTGACTCAAGCTATGTTGGCCAGCTAGACAGAACAGTCCTAACTGACCTTTATTCTGATTGGTCCTGAGTGGAGCTTATGGTTGAGGAATTTTTTAAGATTAACAAGCCTCAGAACATACAGAACATAATGGAGTATATGGTCAGCATGACCCTGCTCTGAGTCAAGTTATTTCTTGTCATCAATAACAATATAAAACTGAGATGTCAAATCTTTTAAAATTCAGACTCCATTTTAGAGAACCTGGCCTAAGTTTGAATTGAGATAAACTAACAGGCATTAGTTTCCAAATTGCCCCCAACAAAACCCGAGCCTAGCTCCAGTCTCTAGGCTAATCCCCAACAAAACTAGCATCTCCAGGTTATACCCTCAACAAGACCAGTGTCTCCAGGTTATTTCCCCAACAAACCTGCACCCCCAGGATACAAGCCAACCACTTGCCTAATGACCACCAATGCAGAAGGGAGCAGAAATTAAGTTTATGATACGACTCCCAGCACCAGCCAGTTATGTTAAAGGGCATAGTATCTTTCCAATTAGATGCTTCCACATGTACTCCCTGCTTGCTGCTTACTATAAAGTCTTGCCCCATACACATTAGGGGTTCCCCCCCCTGCAAAACTGTCCTGCATGATGGTGGTGTGTTGGGGGGTGGGTGTGAGCTAACTTGAATAGAATAGAGACCCAGCTGTGAGTTACATCATATTGGCTCCTGTCTGTGTTTTGGGGATCACTAACATTTCCCTGGCAGTACAAAATGACTGGCAAGCATAGAGTAAAGTGGCTACAGCTATACTGGAGAGCAGGCTTCAACAGGTCTGTGAAGGGCCCAGCTTAACATTACAAACTCAATTTTGCTTTCAGATTCCATGTTGTGATTAACTTGCCCTCTGAGTGGACTCAGCTACTGGAAAACCCCCAACTTGTTCTAAGAACCATGTCATCCTGGAAAAAAAATCATAATTCTCCTAGGCAAATACCCACTCCACTCCTGGCAACAACCAAGCAGTTTTTAAGGGGAAAGTACCTAATGTCTTAAAGTAGATTGATAAGCTAGTAACCATTTTTCATACCAAGATGAAATCATTACTAGCCAATAGAAGTGTACCAAGAAAATGTCAACCAATCATATAACTCCCAAGTTGGAAAGTCCCCTACCCTGCTACAGCAACCATGATAAATAGGCAAGGCTTATATCAGCTCAGCCCTTTCCACACCTTCCACAGTTCTGGAGAGATTGGAAGCTCCAAGCTCAAGCTTGAACAAAGACTCTTTGCTTTTGCATTCGAGTTGGACCCCCCAGTAGTCGCTGGTGGTCTGTGGGCGACCTTGAGATCTGAGCATAACAATCTGTCCTTTTGAAACACTTTGGTCATAGCAATCACATCTCTGGTTGATTAAATCATTTCTAGAGTCCTGCCTTTCAAGTTTGTTTGCTTATTTATATTAGTTCTTTGAGTGTCCCCAGTTTCTTTCTTCACTGTTATAGAATGTTTGATCACACTGTGAACCCCAAGAACTGGGTTATTTACCTGAAAAAAAAAAGTTTCTAGCTATGGTGTAGCTCATTTTTAGCACACACCTTTAATCCCTCTGGCTGGAATAAAGACACAGCCTGAGTACACAGCTTTAATCCTAAACAACAAAGGTAAGTTAGTTTGAAAAAAAAAAAAAGACCCACAAGCATTTGAAAGTGACTTCTAATGAAGTAACAAACAAAGTAGTGAATCAGAGAAAGATCTGACAAAACAGGATATGCCCAGCTCTCCTAAGAAGAGAGAGGAAAGGGAAGCTAGTTAAGAGAGCAGTGCAGATAAAGGGGGACAGTTTTGCCAAGACAGTTATAGATACAAGTTGCAGGGAGAGAACAAACCAGACACAGGTAAAGAAAGAAAGAGCCAGAGAATGAGGGGCCAAAAGATTAGCACAGATGGCCAAAGTTAGTATGGGACTAAGCAGAGCAATTCAGTCAGAGGCTGGGAGAGAAGTCAGATTGAATCAGTCAGCCTGGAGAGCAGTTTGAGCCAGAACAGTTAAGCCAAACCAGCCAGCCAGAGTTCAGAAAGAACAAGAAAGAGTGAGTGTAACTTTAATTTTTTCAAACTTTATTTTTAATGATGGTTCTTAAATGCTTTAGCCTTCCTAGTAGCCCACTACCCACCAGAGGGAATGGAAAAGAAAGGATATGGGGTAAGCGGACCTGTTTAGAAAGGTTCTTCGGAGCAACTCCTGTCTATGTTGTCCTGAAATCAGCAGTTCAGTTCACAGGTTAGCAGGAAGCAACAGCTCGATCCACTTGCAAACACTTTACGGATACACCGACAAGCCAGTTCGGTAGAGTCTGGTTAGCAACAGCAGTGACACAACTTAGTAGAGACAGCCAGGCCTCAGCCTTGGTTTGAGTCAGCAAAAGGGACTAACAGGAGAAGGTCTCAGCTGTGCCTCTCTCAGGGGAAGTAAGGATCAGCGAAGTTGCAAGAACCACAAGCATTGTACAGCTAGGTGTACCAGCAAGCCTAGCTCTGACTCCATCACTTTGTCACTCTGTCAAGTCCTATTTATACCCTCTAAACATATCATGTCCTCCATGTGTCTTACCTCAGCATGAGTCTTACCACAGCACATGCATCCAGTCAGCCCAAGTCCCTGGAAGCGACAACAAACTGCAGTACTCCTCCAGAAGTTTTTTTTGTGTGTTTCTCTCTATGGAGTCCTGATAAATGCAGCTCAACTATGCAATGTAAGGCAGACTAAAACATGCATGTCATTAGCAAAGAGTCTTTTGTCACATGTCCTTTCACGTGTTTGCTTTAGCAGAATATCCTCTCTCCTGTCTCTGCTTCGGGGAAATGTTCCTTTATGAGTCTGCCTTAGCTTTTCACCTGTGCCCACTTTAACAAAATATTCCTTCACATATTTGCCTCAGCAAAACACCATCCAACCCAACTTTCCAAAGAACCTTTAAGTTTCCATTTCAGATGAGCTTATTCAGCAGTAAGTCTCAGAAGCTGAAAACATTCTAGGCATAAATAAAATCGTATGGAGGCTAGAAGCTTTCAGGACTAAGCCTAGATTAGTAGACAGAGGCAGTAAACCTTGGAGATGATAGTTACTTCTGGCAAATAGATGTTATATTAAGAATTCACTCCAACTTTTTCCCATATCCACTCCTCATTCCTTATGTACCCAACTTGTATCGTCTTTCTTTTTTAGCCCTTATAGACCAATTTGTGCTGTCACAATATTCTTGGATGTATAGTCTTCCTCTGAGTGTTGTCAGCTTATCAGGGGATATACTCTTAGAGAAAACCCTCTTTTTCTCCCAGGAGCTTACAGTTGTCGACATTTTTTCCCTTGCAGCTAGTGATGGGAATGTGTGCCCCCCTCCCCTCTCCAGTCTGTCTTGGGCTTGCACAGGCTGTGTGCATGCTGTTGCAATCACTCTGAGCTCATCTGTGTAGTTATCCTCTTGTGCCCAGATGTTTTCTTGTCATCCACTACCTCTTTCTGTTCTCTGAGCCTTGAAAGTAGAGGGTGGGACACAGGGTACAGTATATGATTCCTTTTGGGTCTCTTATTCTTAGTGAGACACAACTTGCCATGTTATACCCGGGCCACCTGTACTCCAACTGGCTGGCCCTCATGGCTGTGTCCTCACAATCCATCTACCTCATGGTGTCTTCCTTTTTTTTCTTCCTCTCCCTTCTTCTCTCCTCATGATCTCTGCCTCAGACTCCAAGTCCAGGAACTGAAGCCCTGCCCACTTCTCTTTTACCCAGATACAGGCTGTAGGCACAATAACTTTGGCCAGTTGTTGTAAGTGTCTATATTAATCTCTATTTACTGCAAATAGAAGCTTCTGATGAGGTTTGAGTGATGTATTGACCTGGTAGGAATATGCAGAAAGGGATTCAAAAAGGTGTTTAAAATTTAACTTTAATAATTATATCTACTTTTAGTCAAAGGCCCTTTTTAAAAAAATAGATGATCTAAAACTCAAGATTTGACTTATTTTCTTTTATAATAGTGCAAAATGTAAAAGTAACTTTTATTTCCCTAATGTAATTGTCATCTCAGAGGCTTAATAAGCTCACCCTTCCTAGTTCTTTTTGAACTCTGGTTGGCTGGTTCAACTCAGCTGCTCTGGCTCAAACGCCTCTCCAAACTGATTCAATATGGCTCTGCTTGGCCTCAAACTAATGCTGGCAATCTGTTTTAATCTTCTGGCTCCTTCTTATTGTCTGGCTTTAACTGCCTCTGCTGACCTACACTGAACTGCAACTCCAGTGCACTGCAGTCACTGCACTGACACTCAGCTGACTGACTCACTGAGCTGCTCTCTCACTGAGCCTTACTTTCCAGTGCTGTTCTCACAAGAGCCCGGCATATCCTATCTCTGATTCATTATGTCAAATCTTTCTCTGATTCATCACTTTGACTACCTGTCCATTAGAAGTCATTTTCAAACATCCTTGCTACCTTCTAGAAACTAATTTTACCTTAAAGGTGAGTACTAAGGATGTGTCTGTATTCCAGTTAGAGGGATTAAAGGTGTGTGAAGTGTTTATATTCCAGCTGGATCACACAGGCCTGGATCTTTGTATATGATCTCCTGCCACAGCAGCTAGTTTGCTTGATTAATAGTTCTCTACAGAAAAATTGACAAGCATCTGTAGGTTGTACTTTAAAATGGAAATTTGGAGTTTTTCCTGGACTCACAATGTACAGAAAGGTTACTCTTAAAGGCTTGGGCAGGACATTGAAATGAAGTTTATGCCAGGCTCAGGAGAGATCATGAGTAGCATGAGTAATGTAGCTGAATAACAGATATTCTACAGTATCTCTTATGTTTGGTAGATTATGTGTACTAAACACATTTTTACTAACAGTATCTCCTGTTAATGCTAGGTTAATCCCATCAAAACCCAAAGACTTTCTGTATTTGAGAGTGATTTGATGACTATCAAACTCAGAGACTCAAACAAGTTAGTCCTCATATACTTAAGTTGGTTTTGGCTGTAACTGCAGAGTGGATATGTGTACACACACACACACACACACACACACACACACATATATGCACATACAATTTTTTTCTATAGATGGTCAGGCTCTTAATTTTTACTTATTGTAAATGGCAACTGTTCTTTATTTTCAGAGAGCCAAGCCTCCCAAGGCTCAGAGGGCTGAGCAACATCTAAAAAGGATCCAGCGCAGCTACCACAAGTACCACACTACTTTGGCTTCCATCAAATCAAATGAGCAGTACCGCCTGAGATGCGACTGGATCCAGCACAGCGACCGCAGGTCCTTCGGCAGTCTCGTGCAAGCAAGAGTCAAGGATGCCATGCAAGGCTTTGTCATCAATACCGAAGAGAGACGAAATAAGTAAGACTCACAAACCTGGTAACCTAGGAACTGAAGCACTCATTTTGTATTCCTGTTGGCTACAAGCAATCAACCTCAGGGCCTTCCCTATGTTAGGCGAGTTCTCTAACATTTTTTGATGTCCTGAGCTCACAAAACCACAATGGTTAATATTGTGCATTAAAAAAAAAGTCAAATAAAGATCACGGCTCAGTTTTTCATATTCTTATTTTTTGGAGAACCACAGTGATGTTTAAAAAAAAACACTATTTATTGAAGGGAGGGAATATCATTGTGTGTGTGGAGGTCAGAGGCCAATTTTGGAAGTTGTTTCTCCCCTTCTACTGTGTGGTTCCCAGGATCAAACTTAGGCCACCAGACTATTTTTCTATTCTCTCAGAGTGGGTTCTGAGGGATGAAGTCTGTGCCTGCAAGGGAAGCTCTTTACTGACTTGTTTCCTCAACCTCAAAGTGAGTGGCCTTTCATTTCTTAAAACATGATTAGATACTAATTCAGAAATTCAGTAGAACAAAGCTCAGTCAGAACGATAATTTTGATTAATTAATTACTTAATTGGTTTGCTTGTTTGTTTGTTTGTTTCAGGCTACGTGACCTTTTGGCATCAGAAGAAAATGAGTATTTTTCTGAAATGCAATTGAAAGGAGAAACCATTGAAGAGAAAAAAGAAAAAATGAGAGAGAGAACCAAGTTATTAAGAGAGAAGAAAGAAAAGGAGAGGCAGGAGTTTGTAGCTGAAAAGTTAGACCAGCAGTTCAGGTAATAATTTGGAAGAGGATACAAGCAGCAGGTGAACCTGGGCTTGTTATATAGAATATTACAGAGAGAACAACAAAACAGCTGGGGTTAGCCCTGGAAGGGAAGCAGACACACCATTCCCTTCAGGAATGGTAATTATTAGGAGAGAGAGCCTCGAGGTCATGACGGATCCTTCAGGTGGAAGGGAGAACATTAGGCAGAAAACGGTACAGTGTGTAGGAGTACAAATAGGGCCTTAAATGGGATGGGGGAGAGGAAGGAGAGAGAGGAGGGGGAGAGGAAGGAGAGGGAAAGAGCCCCCATGACCTTGGAGCACCCAGGATAGGTGGGAGTTGGACTTCAGAGAAAGTCCCCAGAACAACCTAATGAACAGGGGAAACATGAGACTTTCCTAACTTTTGGGAGGCTGGTGGATGCTTTGCCTTAGCAATTTAGTTTGACAAAGGGCACAGAAGAGCCAGGATAAACTAAGAGCTGTCAGGCATACAGATTGCCTTTGAATTTTCTGTGCACAGGAGGTAGCTTCAGGGAGCACAGCTTGGTCTCTTCAGGCAGTGGAATCTGGCCTCTTTAAGGATGACCACTGTCTTAAATGGACAATCCTGCATTCTAACTGGCATATTAAAAATGATTCAGAAATGCCAACTTACAATAAACTATAGCCTTTGAATGTATATTCAGGAACTATCCTTTAAATCTTGGAAATCACATCATAGGTCACTTAAAACACAGGGGCTCAGTTTGTCTTAAAATCCTGCTGTGGTACTTCTGTGCTTGCCTCCTAAGCATGGAAAAGCCAATTGTCAAATAAGATACTACTTATCAACTTGAGCACTCTTGTTGGAGACAAGTTCTTTGAACCCCCATCCCACAAAGTGTTTAGTAAAATTGGTCTGTCCCCTGTTGCTGCCATTTTCCCATCTGCCAAGTATGTGGTGGGTCCCTGTTTGTTATTATCACTGGTTCCAGGATCTTTTCTGGTCACCTGGACTTCTGATCCACTTCCTGACACAGACTACAAAGACCCATCATTTTCCAATCTTATGGACTCTAATGGAAATGGGCGTTAAGAGTTGCTGTCATGGCATTAAAAACTGGGTACTGCTCTTACAGAAGCTCCAAGTTCTGTTTGCAGCACATAGATCCAGCAGCTCACAACCATCTGTAAGACCAGCTCCAGAGGATCTGGTATCCTCTTCTAGACTCCATTGGTACCTGTGCTCATGTGCACAAACCCACAGGTAGACAGAAAACACACACAGACACATACACACACACACACACACACACACACACACACACACTTAAAGAAAATAATAAAAACAAACCTTTAAAATTGTTATTATATCCTCAGGTTGGTTTCCTCATTTTGCTTTCTTTTTTTATTCAAGTCCTTCAACATAGCGATTGTCACTTGATATGAATATCAGTTCTGTATGTCTTTTAATTTTAATATTTCAATCCTCAGAAGAGATGTGAAAAGTTCAGTATTTCCTAGAAGTGTTTAAAACATAGACATTAGCCTTCTTAATTCATTTAATAAATACATTAGTTATTTTATTATTTTATAATTTTATATTTTTGAGCATTTTGTCTGCATAGATAGAAGGGCACCACATGTGTGCCTAGTGCCCAGGAAGGCCTTGGAACTGGAGTTATAGACATCTATGAGCTGCTATGTGGGTGCTGGGATCAATTCAGGGTCTCCTGTGAGAACAGCTTTTAACTGATGAAATGACTCTCCAGCCCAAATGGATAATTTGCGAGATAAGGTCTAACATTGTAATCCAGGCTTGCTTGAAACTCACTGTGTAGTCCAGGCTGGCCCTGAATTCAAGATATTCCGACGCCAGCCTCCCAAGTACTGGAACTGTCATGATTCCTGGCTTTAATAAACATTGAGATTTACGTCAAACTCTCTGGTAGAATCGTAGCTTACCTGACTCGAGAGATGAATATTAGGTTCCCAAGTCGCCGAGTCTTGTTGAGCGGTATTTAGGAATATATGGTGGCCATGTAAGTTTTCACCTAAATGGCACAACACAAAGGGGAATTCAAGAGTTCATTTTCACAACATTTACAGTTCAAGGAGGTCAGAAATTCAAAGGCCAGCAGGTATGAGAAACTAGCAAAATCAGAACAAGATGTAGTTCAGAGAACCATGAAATGTCAACCACTGACAGTGGGGCTACAGAGTTCCCACTAACAATACACACCGTCCCTGATCCTTCCTAGCAGAGGCCAGTAGGAAAGAAAGGGGGTGCCAAGAAGTGGGCACAGGTTGGGGCACAGCTGGTAAGAGTGGATTCAGACCTAGGAACCCAGAGGGAACAGGTTTCTGGCTTAGGTGTGTTAAAAATGAGGCAACTGGCCAGGATGAGTTAATTCTGTTTTTGTTTATTTTTTTCATTTTCCGGATCTCATTATGTAGCACTGGCTGTCCTGGAACTCGGAACGTAGACCAGGCTGACCTCAAACTCAAAGAATTCTGCCTGTCTCTGCCTGCTCAGTGCTGGAGCTAAAGGCATGCACCACCACACCTTAAATTTTTGATCCAAAGTCATACAAGAATCGTCAGAGCAAGGAATCAAAGCTTGTTTTGCCTGAGGGCAGTGCTTGTGTCTGGTGACATCCTTGGGGACCTGCCTCCCTCCCTGCTGTTTCCTCACATTTTTTTTTCTGTCTGGATGGCCTACATCCAGGTTATTTTGGTACTGTGAAGACATGTGCCTAAATACAGCAGTGCCGCATAAAACGCCCCAGGGGTTTACTCCTTTTAAAATCTTCTTTTCAGGGAGCGCTGTGAGGAGCTCCGCACTAAATTGGCTAGCGTCCATGAGAAAAAGGTGGTTGAGGAACGGAACGCACAGGTAGAATTCAACAAGGAGCTGAAGAGGCAAAAGCTGGTGGAAGAGCAGCTGTTCGCCAGGCTTTGGGAGGAAGACAGATTAGCGAAGGAAAGGCGAGAAGCCCAAGACCAGAAGAGACAGAGAGATCTGGTACAAAATACACGCCTGGGGCTGGATGCTCAGGTCACCAGCAACCAGGCACAAAGGGAGGCTGCGCGACGGATGAAGGAAGAGGAAGCCCGCTTCCTGGTGAGCCTTTTCAAACGCCCTGCAGCGGCGGCCTCTGTAGGTGTAGCAGTTTCCCCGCTTATTAATATAGTTTGCTTGGAGTATGGGGTTAGTCTATTAAGCACATTTCCGTGTTTGAAGTCTCACTGCTGCTTAATAACAGATGCACACATGTGCATAGAAGCATACAGCCCAGAAGCCTGAGCAAGCAGGTTGAGCATGACAGTGAATGTTTAGCACTGGGATTCAAGATCATTTCCTTTTACACTTTTTTGAGAGATCGATTTTGGACTACACACCCACTTAATACTTACTTTACAACCACACATAGCTGAGCCTTCTTGTCAGCCCTATGGCCAGCCTTAAAAGCATCGTCCTAACAGGTACAATTCTAATCTTGTGGTGCTGTACACTTAGGCATTCACTGATATACTCTTGTGTCTTGGATTTCTTCAAAGGACTTAGAGTGATTGTAGGTCTAGACAAAACAAGAACAGACTTTAGTTGAAGGCTGCTAAACCCTGTTAAGGATATAAGGGGGTTCAGATCATTTTTTTTTTCTACAAAGCCTTAGTGCTGACTCAGCTGTATTAAAAAGCTAGCTCCACTTCTATAGCTCCTCGAAACGGAGTTGTGTGTATGTATTTCCAAGAAGTCCCTTAGGCTCATCCCTTACTTCGAAAGCGTGGCCTCACTTGCTTTGCTTAACTATGCTGATTCGTCTTCATTACTCTTCCTTAGGAGCAAAACAAAGCACAGGTTAAGCGAGAGGACGAACAAGAAAAGCTCCAGAAGCAGAAGACAAGACAGGAAACGAGGAACAGTTTGAAAAAAGCCGTGCAAGAGAAGATGGACTCTATGCAGCAGGAGTACAGACAGGACCTGGACTTGAACATGAAGCTCGTGGGAAGGGCCCTTCAAGACTTACAAGATGAGGCAGACAAGAAGAAGCAGAAGAGAGTAAGATACTTATTTAGTGCTTGCTAACTGCCAGTAGCATAGTCTGTTGAGTTGTCAGTCTTATCATGGGTTGTTACTTTCAATGTGTTTTATTGTGCAAGGCCCTGAGCTCAGTTTCTAACAATAGGAAGGAAGAGAAGGCCAGAGGAAGAGAGGGAGGGAGGGAGGGAGGGATGGAAGTAGGAAGAGAAGGAGGGAGGGAGGGAGGACAGAGGAAATGAGTCATGAAGGAAGCGAAAATGTTAAAAGATAGCTTTAGTCCCCCAGCAATTCATGAGCACTCTAGCTTCTCCACATTCTCTTTAGCATTTGATTTTGTCACCCCTTTTGCTTTATTACAGTGCATGTTGACTAATACTCACATTGTTTTAATTTGCATATCCCTAATGGGGAATGATGTCAAACAATGTTTTATATGTTCTTCTTTGCCCTCCCTAGAGACTCTTATGTGAAATGTCTCTTTGTTGATATTCAGATCCACCCGTTGTAGGGTGGCAGTTTTCCTGTTGGGAGTGTGCTAACAGCTGCTTTAGGAAACTCTTTGAGACAGTATTTGAACCAACTTACTCGAAAATTTCAAACAGATACAAAAAAAAAAAATCTGAACCCCCTTATATCCTTAACAGGGTTTAGCAGCCTTCAACTAAAGTCTGTTCTTGTTTTGTCTAGACCTACAATCACTCTAAGTCTTTTGAAGAAAATCCAAGACACAAGAGTATATCAGTGAATGTCTAAGTGTACAGCACCACAAGATTAGAATTGTACCTGTTAGGACGATGCTTTTAAGGCTGGCCATAGGGCTGACAAGAAGGCTCAGCAGATAAAGGAGACCACCATCAAGTCTGTTGCTTTGAGTTCTATCCCCAGGTAGAAAGAAAGAGCCAATTCTTGAAAGTTGCTCTTTGATACACACACATGAACCATGATGCATGAGTGTCCACCTGCACACATCACATACTCACATACCAAATAAATGAATTACCACATAATTAAAACAAAGTACTCGTTCTTACTGATGTGTTCCAATAACGTGAATTAAATTCTCCGCTATGTAGGAAGACATGGGAAGAGAACAGAAGATATACAACGATTATCTAATGCAGCGACAAAAGGAAGAAAAAGCCCAGGAGAAAGAACTGGACAGACTACTAGAGGACATAAAGGCAAAGAAGATGGCTGAGAAGGATCGGGAGCTGGCTCTCGAAAAGGAGGCAAGGAAGCAACTCATGAATGAAGTCATGTGTACAAGAAAACTCCAAGTTCAAGAAAAACGTAAGGAACTGGATTATATCTTTCTTCTCTTTTGCTTTTACTTTTTAAAAAGCTAATTATTTCATTAACATTCAATTTGAAGTGATGGGCTTCGCTGTGACATTTGAATACATCTATGCTCTCATTTACCCTCCCCCACATCCACCTGTACCCTCCTCCTCCCCCCCTCCATACTCTTCCTTAGACAACTAAAATATTTAAGGGTGTATCTGTGAAATTCCATGAATGTTGCAAGTACTGAGGCTTCTGCTTTTGCAAATCTTATCTAATTAGAACACAAGACATAAAGGAAGGAGAAACTGCATACCCTAGCAGCTCCTCCCCCACAACTGCGCAGTTTTGGGGGAGGAGTTCTCAAGGTCTAAGAACAGTGTGTTCTTTGGGTGCTGTTTACCTCCATAATGATAAAAGATACGGAATGGTGGGACAGAGATCTGACCTCTTTCTCCTCCCTCTCATCTGCCCCTCTTTTCTTTTTGATGGTGTTTCTCTCCATAACAAGTCCATTTTTAATAGCCTGTGTGATGCTGAACCTCGAGAAATCCTAGGTATCTGTTGAAGTCCATTCACATGTCTCATTCCCTAGAGGCTCTTTCTGTTCCCCCATGCAAAGTGTATCCTCTCTACAAGGCTCTCACTGTCACCTTTTAACATTTCCCTTGCCTGAGGGACCAGAAGGCTCTCCATTCAGAAACCATTCTCAGAGTTTGGGGAGGTCTTCCCCACTTTTCTATCTGCATTCAGACTACATCGGTTCCTTGGAGTTTCATAAAGAAGTTCCAGTTATTCTTCGGAGGGTGAGCTTTAGTTTAAGACTTCTGCAAGTACAGGCGAACTGAGTTACCACTGATATCCTGGATCTCTCTGGACCAGGCTGCCCCATACTACTAAATGACAGATTCTATTAACTCTCTGATAGAACCCAGACGAAACACTGCTCAGACCATGTCTATCTGAAGTTGGTTCTTCCTCCTCCCTCTAGCTGCTTCTGGATGCTGCCCCTAGACTGACACACTCCAAACTGTATGACAGATGCCCATAGAGGGTCTCTCCCCTCTACTCATGCCATATCTTCAAGTTCATATACTCCTTCCTCAAAAGGCAAGACTTTCTCTCCTCCCCCATCACCTGGGAATCAGAGAGTCTGACTATCAGTGTGCACTGTGGATTACTGAAGCCCATAGGAGGCCTCTACTCTACTATATGGATCTCAGCTATTCCCAGGGTTCCCACTATGCTGTTATCTTCCTGTCCTTATGAAAACTAATATTTCATCTAATAAATCTGTTACCCAAAAGGATAATCCACCTTAGTGCCCCTCTTGTTCTCTGAATGCAAAGCCTTTCAGTTAGATGCTCAAAGTATCTCAAGAAGACCATCAATTGTAAAGTGTCAGTATGTCAAGATTAAAACTTTTTATTTTAAATGTAGGTGAGTACATTGTAGTTGTCTTCAGACACACTAGAAGAGGGCATTGGATCCCAGTACAGATGGTTGTGAGCCACCATGTGGTTGCTGGGAATTGAACTCAGGACCTCTGGAAGAGCAGTCAGTGTTGTTAACCACTGAACCATCTCTCCAGCCTCAAGGTTATAACTTCTTAAAGTTTCCCACTCATGACTCCTTTCACCCAGGAAATTGTTAAATGACCCCACATATATGAGTGTATAAAACAGGCACACAGATCCAACATGAACTGATAATATATCATAAGTAAATCTATTTTAAAATATTTTTTGTCATACATATATTTTTACTACTTATTAAAGATATAAGCAAAATGGATATATCTACTTATTTTACATAAAGAATGAAATCTTGGGTGAATATTTACTAATGAAGGGCTAATAGCAGTTTCAATGTTTTTAGAGTTGACTGATGTTTTTAATTTTTAATCATCAAGATTATGTGAGAAGGCCACTTCACATAGACATAGTTCCAAATGGCAGAATTATGTGGAAGACCATTTCAGAAAGTGTTGGAAATTCTGCCCTAATCCCAGGTGAAAAATCTACTTACTGATCTTTTTAAATGAAACTTGAGTCACCAATTCAAACATCATCAACAATAGTTCATTAACCAATAATCAAACCTTCTAACATAACACAATTCAAAATCCGATACAAAATGAGGAATGTTAGTAAGAAAACATTAAAGCCTTTGTTTCTTGCTATGATCTGTACATTTTAGGGACTAATTCCACTGAGGCAATGAGGGAGGAAGAAGTGATAGACACACACAGAAAAACAGGGGTAAGGTGAGTCCTGCACGCTCATGGAGATGCACCAATAGCATCCTGCCATGAATCGCAGCACATTAATGAGGTGTGTTAGCTAAGCTGAGTAGAGGGACTCTAGGGGAGCATTCTAGGGCATGGTTGATAGTTTATGCACACACTGGTTTTAGCTAGAGGTCAAACATTTCTCAACATGTGCACTTGGGCCAGAGGAGGGCCTGGCAGTTCCCTTGAGTCCGAGGCATTGGGGTCTATGACTTGGCTATGCTCATGGTGACAATTCACACTCACTCGGGACTTTATCTGCTTCTTTCTTAACTGTGCAGCTGTAGCTTGATTTCTAGGTCCTGCAGTAGCTCTGCATACAAAGTCTCTGGAAGTTGACTGAGAAAACAAAAACAAAAGCAAAAAACACCTTAGCCTCTGGCCTGGATTATTCCAGACATTCTGTTCCAAGACTGCAAAAACTGGAAAGCTAGTGAGGTCTTCTTGCCCACTGCATCACACCTCACTCAAAGCTGTTTGTAGGAGCCAGGTCACAAAGTTTGGGTACAGTTCCACTGGCCTTGACAAATCTCAGTTAGTGACCAGTTTTTTTCCTCCTTTGGAGGACAATTCCCTCAGTGTCCTTAAAGCAGCAATATTATTTTGTTGGTAAGCTTGAAAAGAGTAGTATGATTGGTTACCAGCCCCTTGTTAAGGTCCCATACCCAGGAGCATATCAGTGGTTATAGCAACCCCTGGGCTAAAATACATTGCACCTGATCCTGGCATAATTTTATAAACCTGTTTTAGAATAACAGGTAATTCCCTAGGGTAAGGCCAGATTTTTTTTCCCCCCATGGGTATCCAATCAGAAGGAGGCAGGCATTTTCTCTGAGGATATTCTAAATTATATGGTGCCATTGGCTTGTTTGATCTTTAAAGGCTTACAGCCACAGTCTCACCATTGGGTTGGATTCTGCAGATCAGGTCATTCAAACATAGGAAAGCTGTTAAAACCATCCGTGTCTTCACCCAAATCTCTCTTCCCAAATGAATTTTTTTTTCACTAAACGAGTGAGTTTATTTCCCCCAAAATATGGCAGCTTAGACCCAAGGTGCAATTTTGCCACTGATTGGGTGACTGTGTCCTCATGGTCATGTTCCTCAGCATCAGCCACCAATGGGTCAGATGGGTCAGGGCCAGTCTGATTCCCCAAGTTCCCCATGTTTAACACAGGCCAGATTTTTTTTTTTTTTTTTTTTTTTTTACTTTCTATTGACTCAAGGTGAATTTTACATCTCACCCCCCAACCTCACTTAACTCCCCATCCTTCTAAGTCCACCCAGTACCCTTGCAATACCCTCAAAGAAAACAAAACAAAACAAACAAACATAAATCTTGCTGTGGACGCTGTAGGGTATCGAAGTGTGTCCCACAGTGTACCTTTTGCTCAAACAGCTACACTATCAATACTGGGTCCTCATTGGGACTCCTCTCAGATATCCTGTTGTGTCATGGCGATCCTGCAGCTTTGGATCTGTAGGACCTGCCCCTTCATGTGCTCCAACAGTTGATAGATGGAGTAAATTTTGGGGTAGGCCAGATCAAACCCCTGGATCTGGGTCTAGGTGATAACTGAGTTGTTTAGCCTGGCAGCTCTCCTGTGTCCTTGTTACCAGGACTAAGTCTCCAGCACTGCCCCTCTCTCAAGCTGCCTAGGCCAGGGGTGGGCAGCCAGTGAGGATTGGGGCTAGCTCTGTGCAGCCCTCTGACATCAACATGGCCCCAGGCAGCAGCCCAGACCAGGGATGTCTGCATGGCTTTTGGTGGTAACATGGACCACAGACATGGCCCTTGGCAGCAGCGTGGACTGGGACATCACCATAGCCTCAGATGGCAATGCAGGCAGGCTATTCTTCACTACCCTCATGTTTCCAGTTCTCCTCTCTTCATTGTGCCCATACTATTCTGAATCTCTTTCTTTCCACCTCTCTACCACAGACTTTTTAAGAATTGTTTTTCCAGGAAAGCCTTAGCTTCACTACCCCAATTTTTTCAATGGACATTCCCTCATTTTTGGCAACTTGGGGGCCCAGCCATAGGGCATGCATAGAATTACAAATTCTTTATTTTTATCTCAAAAGATAAATTCTTACATCTTTCCTTTTTGCAGTAGAACCAGACATTTAAAGTGGGCATCTGTGAGCAAAAGTCAAGATGAATATGGGTTGCTGGTCTGTAGTCATGCCAGCTAATACTTGTCTCTGTCTTCTTCAGTTCCCAGGTTCAGACCTAAGGGTGGTGGAGGTTGGACAATAACCCTGTATTTATACCAAACATAAGACTCATGAGGAAGTAGAGGGTCATGGGGTGGAAGTACCTGGAGCCCAGGAAAACCTTAATGGATCTGTAGTCCTAAGACAGTACATTCAGCATCTTCATCTGTGGTTTCCACTTTCTTGACCTGGTATGATGGATCTATCCTGTCATTCCAGCTACCTTTACAGCTGTAGGAATGCAGGAACCACTTTGTTGAGTTCTTTACAAATTGAAGGTAGCCCCTTTGGCTACCTTTTTGACTCAGACAGTATCACTGGACTCAATCAAGGGGAAATTGGTGGTGGGACTCAGAGGTCGGTTGGGTTTCCCCAACAGTCTGATGAGTAGACTTTTGGAAGACTGGAGGTGCTGTAGTGACTTGATACAGGGATGGTTAGAGAGGTCTGCCAACTGCTGGTCTGAGCCTGGGAAGCAGTGGTGGAGGTCTTTTAAACAAAA